AAAATAAAATTTAAAAAAACAAACACAAAACAAAAAAAATATTTAAATTATACTATATTAATATGATTAATATGACTGGTTTGCAAGCAGGGGGCCGTTTCACGAAGCGCTCGGTTGATGGGTTAAAGAGGGGTTTTAGGATATCCTTATATATAGAGTTTTTCACGAAAGCCTCGCTAAGTTTCCACGTTTCACAAACGTCTCGCTAACTCAACGACGTTGCTATTAAGGAAGAATATTAAGGACAGGTCAGGGGCAGTATACTTAGGCTATCGTACATCAAGCAACGCGCGATTTCCTGCGTGTTTTTATTGTTTTGGCAAGCTGTAGTGTAAAGTAAGAACCCGCCGAGAAGGTAACTTCTGTGTTTACGAGAATACTGTGCAAGGCCTGTGAAGGCATGACACGCAGGGGTTAAGTGTGGCTAAGAAGCTTCTTATTGTGGTAGCAGATTTTGAAGAGATGAAATGTTTCCTTGCACCTTACATGTGGCGTGCTTCGGCTGTTCGTGTATGTATGCTATGGCGGTATGTGCTATAGGTATGTATGCACTGTATCCTATGGCGCCAATACTGTATCAAAGTAAATGTAAATCTAAACCTTCAGAATTTATGTTACATTTTTGTTCAGTCAATACATCATTTGTGGTAGTTCTAGTTGCAGGAAATATGACAACCTTGCTTTAGTTTAATTATTTCTCAGGTACTTAATGGCATTTAAAAATACTTTTAACCTATTATTTTTAGTTTGCACGCTGTTGTACCTACATGTATTAAAACTAAATGACGCAAGAGATTAGCGTAGCAACTCACAGTGAGCTGGGTCGCCATTAGACTTGTAACATGATCTCTATATATAGACTATCTATAGTAGCAAGGTGTAGAGATAGGGTACATGCAGTCTAGCTATGCCGCCAGCAACATCGTTACAGCTGAATTTTAAGGACCGTCTAACAACGCACCGGCATAAGTTTCGTGAAACACTTTAACGAGGGACGTTTAGGACAGCGTTAGGCTCTCGTACAAGAATTCTAAGGATATCCTTAAGATGGCGTTTTTACGATAGCTTCGTGAAACGGCCCCCTGATTATAAACAAGTTCAGACCTTCATCCAGTGGAACAGGCATATAAAAACAGTATAATATCTTACTAATGCAAGTCAAATAATACATGTAATTCATTTACTTCATACATGTATGAGGAAAAAATTAAACACGAGTTGTTAGAAGACAACGTACGTAGCTCGCCGTGGGGATATAACAATTTATAAACGGCATCAATCAGTATATACATGCACATAAAAATTCCAAAACTTTGTGAGTTATGGGCAGTATTAAAGTTTTTCTAAGTTTGATTAAAGTTTTCTTCACGTGTGACCCCTTCCGAGGTCAAATCACATGATGTAAGCATGTTGGTGGGGTAGACAACCGCCCAAGGAAGCTATGTTCCAAGTATGAATAGGTTCAAAACTTTGCAAGTTGCACCAACTGAAAACTTTAAACAACTGTCCACAGACGACGACACCGGGGGTATAGCATTAGCTCTCCAGGACTCTGTCCCGGCGAACTAACAAGCAAAAGCGTAGCAATTTGAAGAATTATTTATCCACCCATACTCTCTGATGACACTTACCACAGATGATTTTAAACAGCCGCGATTTGGCGAAAGCTATTTTTGCGCACTTTCCCTTCAGATTCATCTTTGCCATAATCTTATTACTCAGGGAGCTGAAAATAGACATATATAGATAGATAGATAGATATGTGTGAATCAATAGATATACAGACAGAAAGACAGATGAAGATAGGCAGACAGAGTACATGTTTAAAATGTTTTAAATAGATACTACTAAATGCAAATAATTTGGTAAAATGATTTAATTTAATTTAATAAAATTTAAAGCTTCAAACAGTGTTTAAGTTCAGTACGGACACAAAATGATAGGTCGCTTGTCGGATAAGACAGAGGGTCGTTTAATTGAGGTATAATATATATAGTGAAATGCTTTGGGAGGAAAAATCAAGGTCAGATAAGACAGGAAGTCGCTAAATTCAGACGGTCACTCAGGCAGGTTAGACTGTACTTACGCAGACATGGACTTTTTTATCATGTCTGTTGCATCCACTCCCCCAAGCCTTCTGAAATACCTTTTCTGAAATGACAAGATTGCTTTCATAAAAATCTCAACAACACTGTGATATCAAGAAGTAGTTTAGACCATTTTGTTCTCAACAACTATCAGTTTTATGAATAAATACATGCAACTACTAAAAGTACAAAAAAAGTACAAAGCATCTATTCACATTAAATAAATATGAATGTAAATCCTAATACAATATTGGAGTCTGAATTACTTGATACATAAATACCAATACACTCTCCTTTCTATTTATTCAAATCCAAGATATTACATGTACATGATCGTTCATCCTTTAAGACTTACTAGGGTTGCTCTTTCCATCTCATCGTCCAACCTTTCCTCTAGTATGTCAAACTCCTCCTCCGTGTCGACAGGGGTTGGTGGGGTTGCTGATCCATCAGGGGCAATGTCCAGCAGCATGGTGTCCCTGATGGAAAGCAGCAGCTTGATCACACCTTTCTGGAATTCTGAAGAACAAAAGATATATATATATATATTACATGTATATTCTGCTTAAATGATAACAAATTTACTATTTACTAGAATATACAAAACAATTTTTTGCAATTGAGCCAAGATTCATGGATATATTATAAAGATACACATTTTAATTTCAACTGTTTTTTTTCTCTCGAGTATGTTAATATTTGCGGTGGAAAGGTTAGAACTCAAAACAAACAAGGTACAAGTCTCAAAACGGTGTTTCGGATGTTATTGAATAAAAAAATTTCAATTTTCATATTCGGATTTCAGTTATGTGAAAAATATAATCAAGAATTTGCTTACTCAACACACTCGGCACATACACAGGCAATTGAAATTGTGACTCTCTCTCTGATACCATTATTCTGGGGTTATTCGAAGAGAATTTGAGGTATGCATGCTACTTACTCGCTTCTGGAAGAGGGTATCTGTCGTCAGCAGAGCAAAATCTTTTTGTTGAAGGCCGTGAACTTTCAGATGCCTCTCTGGACCTTTTTCGAGCAGGAGTCTCCCCTCCAATCCCTGACTTGCTACACCTATCCTCTAATAGTCCTCCCCTGCGTGCTGAACCACTACTAGACAATCTGTCCCTATCTACACTCCTCTCTCTCTGTCCTGCATGTGAGGTTGAACTAGCAGGGGTTCTAACCCTATCTACACTGCTGTTTCTGCATCCTGAGCCACTAAATGTTAAACAAGTGCCGCGGAGCGACAGCGCTCATCTAACGTCTACTGCGGTACGTGACTCTGTGGTGGAGTGGTGGGATTCTATTAAACCCTGTTAGTCCCAAATGTGTTCACATACGCGCCGAAACAGTGGACGGCACAGGGATGGTATCAGGAACCTTCTCAAAGGAATAAGAGATTGTGCTTCTTCTCATTGATCGCATCTGGACGATCGATCGCCTCGCGAAGTACACATCAGCGAGCGAGCGTTTCATTTATAGCAATAACGGCCAGATGTAGTGTTGCACAATACGTACGCTGCAAACGTAATGTCTAGACGCATTGTCTGGCTTGCTTTATACAATGTATAACATAATTGTCATTTGTAATTCGCCAGCCAGTTACCGTATAGCTGCCATATCGCCAGCCAGATATGAAATAGTAAGGATATGCCTTTCAAAATGATGTCTATACTTATGTTCCGAATTAATAATCGATAAAATATGATCGAAAAAGGCTTTCGCGATTAATCCGATTAATCGTTCCATAAGCAGAAAATTCCAGTCAGATTCCCAACACTAGTTGTAATCGGTTAACGCTTAAACTGATTCGAGTAATCAATTAATAATCGTTTGGTACGTTCGAGTACTGTACGTAGTTGGTATAGACAAACAAGTAGTTTGATATAGCAATGTACACCAGGACATACATGTAATCTACATGTAATAATCAAGACATTTACATAAACAATATTTATTAAACATATTTACTGTTCATTAAACATATTTACATTGCTTATTTCGACAATTATTTCATTTTGAGCACTGGCAGAAAATGTTAGAAACCTGTCGAGAAAACACTGTTGTCGAGTTATAATCGAATAAATACAAAGCCTGTGCATGTATATGTTTTTGCATTGCATGTAAGACAATTTGTATAGTAACAGTTACATGAAAATATTAGATCAATATACATTTTTGTATTAATTTTCATAGAAGAAAATGGTGTTTGGGCTAGGGCATGTCCATGGCTGGAGATGATAAGGAGATGGACTGATGTGTTGCAGCATCTCTGTTGATAAAAAGGGAAAATTTGTATACTAGGCCCAATGATGGAGTCACGAAGGCGCCATAAAAACACAAACAGTATGGCCAAGAATTCATGGTTTAATAAATTTCTTTTTACAAAATTAAAATACAGTCTGGTAATGTATACAGATGGTAGAACCAAATTGTGGCTGTTCTCTAGAGCATGTTTTCTGTACTTGACAATAATTGTTGACCGACGTACAGAGGTTTTGAAAAAACTTCTATCCAACTTGTCCTGATGGCCTATTAATTAAGAAATCAACCTCGCATCTATTCATTTACCATTTGCTCTCGTTAAATCTTCTTCTGGACGCATGCAATGTACTCAATGAACAGCATACATGTGTGATTTCTGGTCAGAAGCTTCTTACTTAATATTTTTGTTTGAACAGTGAAATCTGATCTACCATGATGATGGCATCAAAATAACAGAGGCGCATTTCACACGTTAAAATGGTACCCGAAATGATGAAGTTCTGTGTGGATGGCAAAGAAATCCAAAATAAAATTGTCACTTGCGCTGGACAATGAAGCTTAGTATAGGGACTAAGTTGGATAAGTGGTTATTTCAAACACCATCAGATACTTCTGGTGGCGCAGTAAAATCAACATTTCTGTTTATTAATTTTGCATTTAAAGTTACGCCGACCCTGATATTACATGTATTTTTTAGTAAGCGAGATAGTCCAGTTTAACCCATGTAATTTTTGGGCTCAATAAAACACTTCATACTACAGTGTACATTGTATGCATATGATCCAAATGTAGTATATGCTGTGTGGTGAAAGTAATATCATTAAATATGACCACTGCACTCTTGATATATTTGGCCTGTCCACGCTGTGAAGCAATGGTGACAAGTTTCTGAATACATGTAAGATACACCCTATAGTATATAAGTTGCATGTTTTATTTTATTTTGTAATGTTAAGAAGACGAAAAAAGGAGTCGTAAAATTTATGATCACCACGCAACAACGAGACTGAGCGCTGAGGCCAAGGCTCTGAGGAAGAGTGTGGTAACAGAATCCTTTGAGAAAGGAGAAAGATGAAAAAGAAATCTATCCAGGTTATCAATTGGGTATGTTACATGGTTATCATTTATAGCATGTTTTATTAAGTAGCACTATCCGGAAGTATTGGAAAGGGCATGCTCATGAAACATGTATGTTTAAACATACGCTTTTAAACTGGCTTTTCGGGTTTTTCAGTAGGTGTGTAATCGCATCATTCTGCATTTGTGTAGTTACGACTTAAGTTTTAATTTATATTTTTCTAGCAGCACTCGAATAACGCACTGCAGTATACATGTAGCATACATACATGTATGTGATCAATTTATTAATGTTGGATTTATTTATTTATATCAAGAGTAGATAATAACACATTAATCACACATTAATCACACGTGTTATTATCTACTCTTGTTTATATTCAAACCAATTATTATGACATACACAATTTCTGCATGTTTTTATTTTTATTTTTTTGTATTCAGGTGATGTATCTTTTAGTGAAGATATAGAAAAGACAAAAGGCAAGTTTCATGATGAACAGGTACTGAAGAGTGATTAATAATTTACAGTAGTAACTTGCTACATTCCAAATCAAGTAGTTCAGATATTTGCTCATAGCACAGTAAATTTTGTAATAAACGTCCTTATGACCTACCACTCATTGATGGTTATCAGAACTAGGTCAACTTGAATGAAGTGGCTCGCCTTATAAGGTAATGGTATAAATAACTTATACAAACAGTCATGATTTTCTGAGTGGATCTTTTCTCGTCAATGTGCCCGAAATAGGGATATAATTGTTTTTATATTCTATATAAAATTTATAGAATATAAAAAATATATATGCCCTATTTTCGGGAACTTGACCAGAAAAGACACTCAGAAGTCATGACTGTTTGTATATAGTTATTATACATTACATACTCATACATACAATGTACAATACATTATGTATACATACCGATTTTATTAAGGCAACAATCTCATTACTGTCACAGGAAGCATGTGTACCGGTAGGGTTTATTAATTAGTCAAAGCTATGAAAGAAAGACCAAACCAGTGTAAAATATAGATATCCCAGGGCTGAGGATTTGGATCAGTTTGATGAATAAATGCCTCGGTCAAATTTGTTTGATACATTGATATGAATGAATGTTAAACATATGGCGTGTATTTCATGGTATACATATAAATATGCAGAAGAAATAATTGATCTCTCCACTTAGTTTAAATCAAATGAAACTAGAATGTGAATTTTTAAAAAGTGAATCACCCATTGGCATATATATTGAAGAAATGCATCACATTAAATTGCATTACCTCACATGAGAAATCAAATACGTAGGCCCTACAATATTTGCTTTTAACAGAATGAGGTATCCCTCGCATGGCGGTTCCAACAAAAGTTATAATGCACTGCGCCAGAATTCAGATATAGAGGGGAAGAGTATATAGCGCTAGAGGACAGGAAGTAGTGTGAGTGTTAGAGCTAGCGTAGGGAGACCGCACCTAATTGGTACGATGTAGTTCAGGGAAAGCAGGGACTGGTCCAAATTCTTAGGAGTGAGATAAATGGAATAAATCAACTTCGGTGGTAGTTCGGGACACCAGGACTCAGTCAAAATCAGAAGTGTAGAAGATAGATTTCCCAGTGCTTAGCTCAAGGTGGACGGGACATGTATAAAGTCTAGGAGTATATAGAAGGAAAAGAGTGGCATAGTGGTGGTTTCAGGTGGTGCGAGGACAGGTCAAAGTCAAAGAAGTATAGGAAAAGATAGAGTGCATAGCGGAGGTTCAGTGCAGGAGGGACAAGGTCATAAGTCTACGGAGTTTATAGGAAGGATAATAGTGCATAGTGGTCGTTCAAGGGCGGAGGGACAGGTCAAAAGTCTAGGAGTATATGGAAGGGCATAGTATGTGCATAGTGGTCGTTCAGGGCGGAGGGATAGGTGAAAAGTCTAGGTAGTAATAATTGGAAGGGATAGAGTGCATAGTGGTGGTTGCAGGCGGCGGCAGGACAGGTCAAAGTCTAGAGGAGTAGTAGAAAGGAGATATAGTGCAATAGTGGGTGGTTCAGGGCGTGACAGTGTATATAGTATTTAACACACATACGACGGCAGGGAGACTCAGAAAAGTTTTCGATAGTTTTATGCTCATTCTGACATAGTCAGATGCAGCTTGTAGAATCGCATGATCGTCTGTTCCCGTGCGTCGCGTGCCGTCAACAGGTTGGGCATCAAATCTTAACACGCTCGACGTAGCGGTCACACGATATCGGGACGTGGGGGTGGTATCGAAAACGAGTTGGAATGTCGAAGCTGGGGTCAAAGTCAAGAAGGTGAAGAGTTAAAAGAGGGCGGAAGCATCCGTCCTTAAACTTAAGGTATAGGGATGAAATGCAGAATTGCGGCACAATATCTAAACGCGCTCGACTCTAGGCTCGGTGATACCTCAAGAATTTGACTGCCGGGTTTGCTAGTAGAATCTATACATGCCTGGATGTATAAGAGCTGACAATGTCACAGTTTGAAATTTCAAAAAAAGCTATAAATTTTGTGAAGAAAGGTTATGCTCCTTATAATCCTAATAATTTCATAGTGGCATTCTGTACTGCAGTGTGTTTACCATGTAACTTATGCAACTCGATCCCGAGTGCAATGTGGTGGTGATAGTACTGTGTACGTTTTTGCTCGCGGTTAATTAGTGAACAGGTGGTGCAGGCTTCCTCTAGTTTCGGCCTGTAGGCTTGCGTAGGTAAATGGAATGAGTGCTTACCTATTCTGTCTTGCAAATCAGTTTGTTGCTACAACTTTACGATGGGAGCCTTCCATCGTTTAATCTTAAGCAGTACTTTTTTTAAACGTAATGGCGCCATCATCGTGGCAACTTTCATAACGATTCCCAACAAACATTCCTTTTGGG